TGTGCACTGTGCCATTTTCTTTCTTAAAAGATTTTATTTGGGTGAAGGGCGCATTCCCCTCCATCGAGGCAAATTATTGCATCAGGTCCACTTGACAGAGAGATGCGTTCGGGGTGTCTCTTCTGTCTACAGTATACTGCGGCTTTAACTTGTAGCAACTGCTAAGTTAAAGCGCAGGTTATGGTAGACAGAGAGAGACGAACGGCATCTCTGGCGTTCGGTTCACCTGACCGGCAATAATTTGGCCACCTCGGAAAGGGTATTTGAATTGGCTAATTCTCAGCTTGATGTAAAGAGTCAACTACCAAGCCAAAAATTTTTATGCCGTATTTTTTGGACCACTTAAGAGGCGCTGCCACTACGAAGGGAATCCAAAGCAACGAGTTGGACGGTTCTTAATTTTTACTCGCACCAGACCAAGCTAAGCAATTGTAATTTTTTTTTTTTTTTTGACAGTTTAGCCATTTTAGGGCTAATTTAATTAAATGATAAATTCCACACAGTCATTGAATGCATCCTGTATCAATAAAAAATTTATTGATAGTGAAACTTTCAACCAACATATCGTATGAGTTTACTTAAAAAAATAAAATGTAAATATATACAAAATTAAGCCCAAATATAAATAATGGCAATAAAATAATTGTCTTTATTAGGGTTTAATTTTAATTGCTGAAACATCAAGAATAGATTTGTAAGTAATAGAGATTTCATCACGTTATGATTAGTTACTAGAACTTTTTAGTAAGGGAAAATTTTGGGTTTTAAGCGAGTTTTAAGGCATGGAAAGGATCACTTGTTATAATTAGCATTTCTAATTTTAGGTAACCTATATTTATTAGTTAATTGTTCTATCACATATAATTCTTGAAATCAAGTCAACAATTTTTTTAAAGAGTGATGAGTGGTAAACATAAAAAAGTCATGAAAATTATTTAGATTGAGAATTTATCGTAGATTTTATTAATCAGTTGATAATACTTTCTCTCAGAATACCTATTTATATATTTTGGATTAGCATGTCTTGGTAGTACTACAAAATATGCTTTCTTAAATGACTATAAAAAATATGATGTCATGTTACTTTATTTTTCTCATAAAAGAAATTATACGATCAAGTAATGGGATAATTTGACTTGAGGAAATAATCATTGCGCTTAAGACTAATAAGAAACTCATGGATTTACGTCGTGTGATAGGACGAATAGTCCCTATTCGGTGAATTTCCCATATGAAGAAGTCGTCTATCTTCAAGAAATCATAGGGACCAACATGATAATAGCTTTACAAGAGCGAATTAGAGCGCCGTCTCCAAACGATATCCTTAGTCATATAATATACAAATATTAAAAAATCTATTATTTTGCTCTAAATGGTGCAAGCAAGGATAAAGATGAGGTAGGTATAATATAGTACAATGACTATAATGCAAGCATATAATATGAACAACATATGGCCCAAAATAAAGATTTTGAAAAAAAATCACAGATGTGGTGGGTTTGAAGCATTGGTATCGTCAATGATGAATTGAAGAACTGTTGCGACATTAAAGTGAGTAAAGCTTATACTATCTTAATTATAATCTTAGAAAATTTAATTTTGTTGATAGATTGAGTGGAATATAACACATTATTAGGAGCTTTGAATTATAGCAAATTCGTGGGTCCCAGTGATATTCGACTTTATGTTTAATCTATGAGTTAGATATAATGCTTGCGATTTTGATTTCAGGTATGGACTGATTCTCGAAGCATTCATTTTTCATTATAATTTAAAAATTATAATAAGGATAGAAAAATCTATGTAGTGGAACGAATTACATTGGCTAATGAGTATGAGTTCCAAATTTCGATTGTAAATTAGATTCGTGTTTTTTGTTCAATATCAAGCCTTCTCAAATACTTTTTGTTTGTTAATATCATAAAATCATGCAAAGCTTATCATAATATGCATATAACAAATATTAATGTATACTTTATTTATAATAAAATACTTATATCAGAAACTCGAAAATTTATGCTAAATGAATAATAATTTTAAATTATTTTTTTTTTATTATATATAATGCCACATTGAGAGATTGGTGTCATGTCTTCCATCCAAACATAGTGCATTGTCATCAAAAATTGGATTTTAAGGTGGTGGGCCATATAGACAACTTATTAGGTGAAGATAGTAATAAATGTATTGGCAATTGGGCACAAGAAAGTAAAATGTGTTGGTACTTGTCCTTAAAAAGGGTTTTAGGTATTGATATAGGTGATTGAGGAAGTGGGGCTATATTTTGTCAATAAGGAGGTGGCTTTGTTTGTATTGTTAAATGTCTCGTGGTTGCTTAAACTATTGATGGTTATCTTTTGACATTTTTGGTGGAGAATATTGACTAAGTTGATAATAATTAATAATTCTTATTTTTTTAATTGTGTAGCTTAGATTCGTTTGAGATTTATATTTCTTTATTGCTTTCTTAAACACTTTTTTTTAAAATAATTTTTAGTTTTAAAATTTTTTATATATTAATTAAAATTCCTTAAAATTTCATAAAAAAAGACATTTCCATACCAGACTTTCATTTGGGATGGCTTTTAGATTTACATTTTAAGATTAGTGGTAAAATATAAAATACGTATTATATTCTGCTCAAATTAGGATTCAAGAGTTTTAAAAATTCATTGCATAACTTTAATTTTTTAATTTGAATCCATGATATTTTTCTAGCAGTAATTTATTATTCTAAACTATATCATTATAATTTTTAATCAATCATACAATAGAATATTAATAAATTTTCAATCATTTGTCATAATTAAATTATTTTATTTTTTTGGAATTTATGAACTCTCATCTTTATTCATTTCTTATGAAATTATTTGTACTAGGAGGTTGGCTTGGTTGACAAAAACAGAGAATGCATGTAAAAGGAATACTTTAAACGTTGTTTGTAACAATGTAAAGTTTAAAAACGCATGAAATGATGTTTTTTTTTTTTGGTAGATACAAATGAATGGATACGTCTGCTTATGTAATGGTCTTCATCGTTAATTGGCGAATTGTACTCGCGTAAAATGGAACCGGCTTGCGGGGTTCTATGTGCAGGAGGTGCATGGACTTGTGGATGGTTAATAACTGCGCTGTAAATTATTCCATTGGATTAGCTTTTATGACAAGTATTTATTATTATATTCTTGGCATACTCATATCACAAATACAATATTTTTCAAACCACTATTCTATTTGAAATACTTTCAACGGATTTATTTCGAGCGCAAATAGCCCTTAAATGCATTTCAATTTGTGCTAAGAAAATTTATGATGTTAAGAGCTTACAAAGAGAGAGTTATTAACATTTAGTACTACAAAGATTTAACTTCATACAATAAAACGTTTTACAAGATACACTAGAATTTTATGTGCGGAAAACCCAAAACTGGAAATACATAGGCATAACCCATGTTGAAAAGATTTCATTATATTTATTCATACTTAAATAATGTTTTTCTCATAATTGAAGAATATGTTTATAGATATACAGTAATAAGAAATTATAACAATAAATTGTGGTCGATTAGTTAAAAGAGCAATATTTTATGGATAGCTATCATACTAATAGATCATTATATATACTTGTCATTCTCTCTCTAGTGGACGAGGAATTAGAGATAAAGAAGTTCTAATATAAATTTTTGGTTGCTAACATCACAAGTCAAAGTTGGCATTGAGCATTTTCATTTATATTTCAAGTTCACAATTAATTTTTTTTTTTTTTTTTTTTTTTTTTTTTTTTTTTTTTTTTTTTTTTTTTTTTTTTTTTTTTTTTGTTTCACATACAACGACGACAACCAACAAAACAACAACATCATCATTAAAGCTTTTGTAACCACTAATTCGTGTTGGGTTTAGACAATTAATTGTTTTTCAAACTGTGCATCATTCAGTAATTCCAAATGATTGATTTGGACTCCTTCACTCAAATTGGACCACTCTTGATATGGTGATTCATCTCAACAAGACGTTTAATTTAGCTGTAAATTTGCTAAAATCATAATTGAATGGTCGTGAATTTGATTATTAAAATTTTTCCATTCAAATATACATTGTATTTTTATAATGTCATATATAAAATAATTCATAATATAATATACATTATTATTGATGATATTTTGTTAACTCAATATTTTATTTTGATCTAACCAAAAATCAATTAAGTTACACTGTGAAGTCTTTCATCTCTTCTATAAGAAACATATTAGTCTAATAAATATATATCTAATTAAATGATCATAATTATAATATATAAAATGTTTTATGTTGTACCAATGTAAGCTCAATTCAACAAGCAACGTTGAGGCAAATCAACTTAAGACTAAAATTTAGCTTTTGTTTATGGGTCATATTGATTGCTTGCAAGCTTTGTGGCTAAAAAATATTTATTTTTCGCTAATGGCCCTTTTAAATAATAATATTTATTTTCATTTACATTAGCTAGAATTGAAATGCAATATTATCAAATATTCAATCCTGCACAGTTTTGTCGGCAATGCTGACAGTTAAATACAGTTGGGGACAGCGGACGCGCGAGGAGGATAAAGGGGGAATTTTTCTCACATTTACTTCACAGAAATTAACAAAGTTCACTCTTTTTCCTTGTCAAAATCTGTCGGGGTTAGGGTTTCTCCCCGTCGCCCGTGATTAAACTTGGAAGCTCGTGTGGCCTTGGCGAGGTTTCTTCGAATTGCTCGGTGTCTGGCCTTTTGCTTTAGGTTTTGCCCATTTTGAAGAGCTCGTGGGCTGAAAGATTGTGATGATGGAGGAGAATAGAAGGAATCAAGGGTTGGAAGAACTATGCGGATCCGATCTTGCTTCGTCTTTTCCGGTGAATATGACTATGTCAGCGGAAGTTAAGCCGATATTGGCTGCGAAGAAGAGATGCCCGAAAATTTTAAGTCTTGATGAGGAGGAGTTCATGAGCTTGTTGCATGGCTCAGATCCTGTAAAGATAGAGCTCAATCGCTTGGAAAATGAAGTAAAAGGTAGTCGCTTGCTTCTCCGAAGTTTCTAATGTTTTAAATTTATTTAAAGTTTAAAGAATTGTTTGTTTTGTCTCTCATTTGGATTATCTAGTTATATGGAATTCATGATTCCACGAGATAGTAAACAGCTCGGTTAGCTTTTTCCATTCTTAGTTTTCTACGCTATAGTTTGCAAATTTAAAGTCTAGGTCTGGTATGGTCTGGAAATCATCTAGCTTTGATCTTTGCAGTCTTACAGAAATGTCATTTCCTTTTGATAATCATAGAATCAAGCACCCGGTAGTTGAATTTTAATTAGTTTAAACTGTAATTTATGGTATGTGTGGAGATATGTTGTTCAATGAGGCTTAGCATCCATCTGTAATTTCTCTAGGATATAATTGATGTCTGCATTTATTTTAAATGGAAGAGTTGATTCTCTTCCTTAATACACAGACAAAGATCGGGAGCTGGCTGATGCCAATGGTGAGATTAAGAGCCTAAGATTGATAGAGCGAGCAAAAGATAAGGCTCTTGCTGAGGTAATCCTGTCTGTAACTCTTCTTTATGTCAGCTATCAACTTAAGATAGATTAACAGTGTCAATTTATATCCAACGCTGATCAAGCTATAATCTCCGAGCTTTTAGGTTACTGAAGAACTTGAGAAAATGTCAGGCAAGTTGCAGGCTTCAGAAGCAGCTCTTGAAGACAAGGTATGATCTCAATGTGTTCACCAAAATCTTTTTTTTTTTTGTAACAAGCTTAATGGTAGTATTTGAATTACTGATGCTTTTATCAGAACCTAGAAATCAAGCGACTTACTGATGAGAAGAAAGAAGCACTCTCAGCACAGTTTGCTGCTGAGGCGACTTTGCGCCGAGTTCATGCTGCCCAAAAGGATGAGGAATTGCCTCCTTTAGAGGCTATTCTTTCCCCACTTGAAGCAGAGATTAAGTTTCTACGACAAGAGGTTTGGTTGAGGCTGCTGGCTTATTTTTTTTGCAGGAAAAGTGTTCTTATTTGATCCATGGCTGAATAATCTATCCTATTCTTTCAGTTGACAAAGGTGCAGGATGATAATAAGGCCTTAGAGAGATTAACAAAATCTAAGGAAGTGGCTTTGCTGGAAGCTGGAAGAGAGGTGCAGCTTGCAAATGTAAAGGCTGCTCTAGTTGATGATTTACTGAATAAAAATCAAGAACTCACAAAGCAGAACGATATATGCCAGGTAACAGTTATGATTTTCATGATTATTTTGAAGTTCAAATATTGAAGTCCCCAAGTTGGATGAATAAAGATTACGAGGAACAATAATTTTGATCTTATTCATATAATCACATAAGAGTTGATATAGCTATTTCTATGAACTTGACCATTTCAGGAAGAATATAAAATACTTGATAGAATGCACCGGCAGAAGATTGCAGAGGTTGAGAAGCTTGGCCAGACTATCCATGAACTGGAGGAAGCTCTTCTCTCAGGGGCTGCAGCAGCAAATGCTGTGCGCGACTATCAACGCCAAGTTAATGAATTGAAGGTATCATCCTAAAAATCAAAATTTCAACTTCTTGGAAATTTAAAGTTGGCCATTTATGGATCTCTCTCCCAACACTAAATGAAGTTTTGTTTTTTTACTTTTCTTCCTAGGGGGAAAAGAAAACTCTTGAAAGGACATTATCTCGTGTGATGGTTACAGAGAATAGAGTTGCTGCAGCTATTGCTACTGAATGGAAAGATGCTAATGACAAAGTTATTCCCGCAAAGCAATGGATCGAAGAACGGCGCATCTTAATGGTATTTTCTGTTGAATTAAACATATTGCAGGTGGTGTTAGGGAAAATTTTGTTTGAATATGCTAAATGATTGTATTTCAGGGAGAAATGCAACAACTTCGTGACAAGCTAGCAATAGCGGAGCGCGCTGCTAAAGCAGAAGCTCAGCTGAAAGTATGATGACTATTATTTTTTTATAATTCATGAACTTTCTAATCTGTATTATCAATATTTCCAATAATGTGATGTGATGTACTGTGCCCTCATATGCTTATGAACTTTTAGGAGAGATTCCAGTTGCGTTTGAAAGTATTTGAGGATGGACTAAAATGCTCTCTTAGATCTGGCATTCGTTGTGAACCAAGAAATACTCACAATGGATTGATGAGGAGCCTCTCAGAGATTGGAACTGATACTTCTGCTGGTCCTTTAACAAATGGGACTTCAATGCGAAAATCATTTCCTGTTGTAAAATCAATGTCATTATCTAGCCCCACCAGTGCAATCCTTAAACACGCAAAGGGAACATCTAAGTCATTTGATGGAGGTAGATCAACAGAATATGATAACTGCAGAACTAAAACTTGTGGAGGTGCATGCAGTATAAACTCCTTGAGAGAGGAGAGAGATATTTTATTACTTGATGAGAAATCTCCTGATGCAAATAAGGAGCTTTTTATTGGAAGATCATCAATTCCTACAGCTTCTATGGGAGAGGACTTCGTTTCAGGAGTTCTTTATGACATTCTACAAAAGGAGGTGGTTTGCTTAAGAAATGCTTGTCATGAGAAGGACCAGTACTTGAAAGACAAGGATAATTCTATAGAGGTATAACCCATTTTTCTATAATCATTTATGTAGAATCATTATCCAGAACTCCATGATTTCTTTCTTTGAAAATTTTAAATGGCTATCTAGTCTCTGTCAAAGAAAGTTGATACACTGCACAAGGCAATGGAGGTAGAAACAAGGAAATTACGCAGGGAAAAAACTGCTATGGAGAAAGAGGTTGCCTCTATGCGGATTGAAATAGAGCAAGAGAAAAAGGCTAGGCGCTTGAAGGGAATGGTTGCTAATCTTCAGATCTAAAGGTATGTTTTATGTGCTGTTATTTCTCAGCAGAATATTATATATTAGAAAGCCTTTGCTGCATAGGTAAAAATGACATGTTATTCTTACTAACAACATAATCAGTTGTTTTTAAGCCAAATGGTACAAAAAACTAAAATTTATGATAAGTGGTTTAAATGCTATTGATGTTAAAAAAAAAAACAAGATTATTATAATCAGATTGAATCATCTGGCAGTCATCCTACATGTTTGTGCAATCTGTTTGAACCAGATTTTCTGAATATTTGGATGTACACAATCAATCCAAACAATCTTAGGGTTCGTTTGGGACAGCTTTCTTGCTGTTTCTTAAAACAACTTTTTAGTACAAAAATTTAATTTTTTATGCTAGAAAGTTGCTTTAAGAAGTAGGAAGAAAGCGGTCCCAAACGAAGCCCTAGTTATCGGATCTTGATATAATTTCTCTAATTCTATTCCATGAAAGTTGCTATTTTTTCTCAGATTGAGGAATAGTTTGCTATTTTCAGAAGTTTACGTGCAAGGATACAGTCTTTTGCTTATAGAATGACAGCAATCATCAGAATCACAGTGACAAACATATGAAGAAGAAGATTATTTTTTTGCAACAAAATTAGTCGGTCTAATAATCAGCTAAATGAAATGGTACAATATGTTCTACAATCAGATTGGACCACATCATTTGGCTGGTCTTCTCAGACTGCTAATTTCTGTATATCTAATATCTTCCATGCAGAAAAAAAAAAGCCCTTTTCTATTTTCTGATGCAGTCTTAAGTTTAAACTCTTGCATGTACACTTTGGTACACCTTGCAGGAACCTGCCATTGATGTCAAATACAAAATACTAGAAGCCATCATGTCCCCCTCTACATCTTGTGAGGAAAACGATTCCATATATTTTTGTACTTATTGCTTTCCAGCGTTTGCACCTTTGATCTGAAAGCAGAACAAGCCTAGTTTTCAACCGGTTCTTTGAAGCTTTTGGATTGCTAGATCCATTCTTAATGAAGTACAGTGTTTGTACATAAATATTAATTTCAGCATCTGAAGTAATATTTCAATCTTTAAATTATAATATCGAGCTTTGTAACGATGTGATTAATTCATATATAAGTTTCAGAATGCAAGGTTGCAAGAGAATGTTCATTAATCTTTTCCAGGAAGGAGCAATAATCTCTCAGATTCTCCATGCCAACCACCAGCTTTACAGAGCACTTCCTTTTTCTGCACTTTATTTTGTGCCTTCCATCATTAGTCCCAAGTGCAATGATTTCTATATAATTTATTTGAAGAATCTGAATTCATAGGCTCATATTTGAAGTTACAAATTTCCTTCAAGTTCTAATTTGCTTCTCTTAATAATATATCTTTGAAGATTAGCTACTTTTTACCTTTTTCCTTTTTATCATATTTACCATATTATTTTAGGATCTTTATTTTCTTTGACTATTGCATCGATGCATATATATATTCATAAATAGTGTTCAAAATTGTTGAAGAATCCCAATCACCAACTTCAGAACCTCACCAGAATGAAGCTTTCAAGCAGTAGTTTAAGGCTTCGTTTCAGATGACTTTCTTATTACTTTTTAATGAAACTTTTTAGTAAAAAAGTCATCCTAAATGAAGCCAAAATTTTCTGTTCATAGCTTAATATTAGAATGAGATTGTAGAAGAATTAGCAACTATAGAGAGAGCTATAGATTAAAAAAAAAAAGATTATGATGACATACTTGAGAACATTTTGATGAGCACCGAGAAGTGGATGGTCATAGAATAGGATCTACCTGACACCAACCAACATATTATCATACGGATGCATAATATGTATTTTTGTTTTGTTTAGATTCTTTCTTCCTTTTTTGTTTATTTATTTATTTTTTATGTTTTGATATGCAACCGTTTTTAAATTAATAAATATGTTTTATTTCTATGATTATGAGTTGTGAGTTATGTATGATAATAACTTCGAGTATTATTCATTTGTTCTTAATATATTGAAGAGCTATTGAAATGATCCCTAGTGATGTGCAGAGGTCCAAATGTGTAAAAACTTGTTAATGTATACCCAAAAAGATGTTTAAATCACCTCTGATTTCTGCAAGCTTATAGACAAATTGAGCATCTCAAGAAGATGAACCCAATGACATCAAATTCAGTAAAATTCGAGCCTAAATGACCTCAAATCACATGATAAAAGCATTCTTTGAAGCTTTAAAACATTAATTGGATGATCAAATAATATCCAAATATGACATGCTTATAGTTGAATCGAGCGACTTGATGAGACTAATCCAACAAGCCTAAGATCACCCAATTTTGACATCATTCAAGCACTCAAATACTTGATAAAGTTTATGATCAATGGAATTAATATCAACCGTCTGATGGAACACTCCCAACATGTCATTGATTTCTCTTGATTTTCTCCATCCAACGCAGCCACCATCGAAGTTCTTCCGGACCACCGATCGAGGACAAACTTCTGCCTGTTCTCCAACTATCGTCGAAAACCTTCCTCGATGCTATGAACATCGAATCTCCTCCAAAATATTGTCACCTTCCGACTACGGACATTCCGAGCTCTGTTGCCAGACTATAGTCCTTCTGACCACCATCACCTACCGACTACGATCCTTCGAATCATCATTGCTCGCCGACTACAGTCCTATTGACCAAACAAATATGCTAATACTCTCTTAAGAACAACTGCCATATTTTTCTTCAGCTATATAATGTGATCTATACAATGTGCATTTACTACATGGAGCAACACCCTCCTCCAATGAAGGGTTTTATTTGTAATCAATCATAAATACTAGTAGATTCATTCAAATTGGGTTAGGTCATATGGTTTTTGCCCTTTTTAGGGTTTTCCTTATTAAAAATTTGGTGTCTCTTATGCATGATGCTCCATACTCTTTTATATGTTTCTATTCTAGATCTTCATTAAAAGCTAATAAGTTAAACTCTATATTTCTCTACCACCACGCATATTTCAGAACGTAACGGGTTGACACCATCTGTAGGAATTTGATTTATGATTAAGAGGTAACCTTGGCTAGTTGGCTACAACCTCAAATGTATTTGTGGCAAGATAATTTCCTCCAATATTTTCAACATCCAAGATAATACTAGTGACAACCATTTTTCAACAAATGCAAAGATGCTTCTAGAAAACTTTAAGCTTTATAAAGTCCCCAGATGAATTTCTATTCCTTGGTCAATGTATTAGTCTTAATCTTGAAAAGACAGTAACAATCTAATGACAAACCAATCTTCACATTTGATTTGAGATACACTTGGCATTCGCCCCTTTCCAAATAAGGTATAATCAATCCGAGAGGGATTCAATTTTGCCGCTTCCACACATGTTAACGTCATCGAGCACTGCTCTGACAAATAATCTCGAATAGGTCAAACATCATTGGCGGATTCTCTCAACCTCTTTCACACATGTTAATGTCATCGAGCAACACTCTGACAACCAATCTAAGATAGATAAAAAATCTTTGGTGGATTCTCTCGGCCTCTTCCACACAAGTTAACGTGTTCGAGGAACGCTTTGACAAACAACCTCAGATAGATCAAACATCCTTGATAGATTCTCTCAGCATCTTTCACACAGGTTAACGTCATTGAGCAATGCTGTGACAAATAATCTCTGATAGGTCAAACATCATTGGTTGATTCTCTTAGCCTTTTCTACACATGTTAATGCCATCGAGCAATATTATAACAAACAATTTCAGACAAGCCAAACATCCTTGATGGATTCTCTTGGTCTCCTTCACACAGGTTAATGTCATTGAGTAATGCTCTGATAAATAACCTTGAATAAGTCAAACATCCCTTGTGATTTCTCAACATTTTAAATGCAAGTTAACGACAATGAGCAATGCTCTAACAAATAACCCCAATAAGGTATGCCCATGAGGTAGCCTTGAAGGGTAGCTAGTAGTGAACAAGGTCCTCAATAGAAAGACTTCATAAGAGCAAGTGTTTGATAGGTTTGCTACTCATTCAAAGTCCATAGAAGCCTAAAAGCCTCAAAAGACACAACTATATTAAAGACCTTAGAAGGCTAATAACCTCAAAAGTTATAGGAATACAAAAAATCATAAAAGGCTAAAAGCCTCAAAATGTATAGATACATGAAAATCTCAGAAAGTTAAAAGCCTAGGAAGTTTTTATTTAAAAAGCTTAGAAGGATAAAAACTATGTAAGAAATATAATTCATCTAATTTAACTGCTTTTATAGGGGACGGAGTTCACAAATCAAAATTATTCATCACTTCAAGCAAACATTAATATTATAAAATTCTCAAAGATAAATAAAGAGAGATAATCAGGTAATTAAACATACTACAAATATTACAACATCTTCATTATCATTTGAAAATACATTTTTCAACTCACTTTCATTACTATCTTCGCCTGAATTTGCGGGATAATTTTTGAATGCTTGGTTGGGTGTTAGCTCGTCAACTACAACTTCAATCTTACGTTGTACTAGTATATCTTCTTTCAAGAAGTCATAGGCAAAGCCTTTATCAATACTTTGGAGCATCAAATAGTTTATTACGGGCCACTTGGATATAATTGTCGATTTCTTGATAATAAGCGAAAAACACGTAGGATTCTTTTATAGCCTTCGATAATATAATATCTATTCTGAAAGACATTCTTATCTCCTACAAGTATCTTGAAAGCTTCTTTTGTATGGTTTATGTCTGTGCGAGCCTAAATCATCTTATGATGAAAGAGATCAGACTTCTATCACACTAGACGAGCACACACGTCCCTTATTGTGACTAAGTATTGGCTTATCATCCTAGAAATAAATATAATACATCTTAGCAAGAGAAAAATAAGGATAGATGATTAAATAAACAAAAATAATTTATTATTTATTTGATAAACCGGTAGCTATTATGTTTGAACATAAAAAGACTAAAATACTCAACATATCATAAAACTTAACAAGCATATTTTCTATTTTAGTTTTTTATAAATAATTTTAAATATTTAAAAGCATCATTTATGTAGGTCTTTGAATGCTTATGTTTTAATACTAAAATATTTGACTCTATTATTTGAGCTATTTTAATTTGGTTTATTTTTATTTTTAGCTATCATAATTAGTTGGATTAAAACTTCTTCGAGTGCAACTTTCTTATTGGTTTAACTTTCAGATTGCAACTATAATTTCTATTTAGTCATTATTTTTTTCATGCTCTCAATGATTTTTTTTCCTATGAATCTACTCTTTACAATAGCTTTCTAAAAAATTATTCTCCATAATAATTTTATAATAACTTTTATAAAAATGTAGTTATCCCAAACGCTATACAATAATATTAAAAAAAATTTAAAATTTTAATTGAAACAATTTTCTCCTTGTTTTTGTTGTCATATTACTATTTAAAAAAAAAATTAATGAAAATTTATTTTTTACAACCTAAATAAATAAATTACGACCTATAAAATATTATGGCAGTCTCAACCATGAACTTTTATTTGGTCCGATCACCTGACGTAGCTCTACGTTTGAACGCCACTAAAATAGTGTCACGTGTTCTCACTATTCACCGCGCGGCCTGACAACCCCGACCCGGAACGAAGACGGGATTGCTATGTTCGCGTGTTGCAAGGTATTGCTCTGTATTTGCTCGGTATTGATCGATTTTGCTCGGCAATAACGAGAAATACCATTCTGTGAAGGTCAATACTGAGCTATACCGAGTAATACCGAGCAATTTTCTCGGTATTGCTCGGTATTTCTCGGTATTACTCGGTATTGGTCTTCACAGAACGATATTTTTCATTATTGTCAAGCAATACCTAGCAATACCGAGCAATACATAGCAATACCAAGCAATACAGAGCAATACACGAACATAGCAATCCCGGGTCAAGTCGTTGGGCTGCGCGGTATTGAGTAAGACAACGTGGCGACATGTTATTGGCGTCCGAACGTAGAGCTACGTCAGGTCACCTGACCTAATAATTGTTCCTCAACCATACCCTAAATCCTCGCTTTCTACCAAAAAATTTTCAAAATTGAATAAAATTAGCCGATCCAGTAGAATTGTAAACCGATGGCTTAATCGGCCCAAATTAATGAAAAATTGGTTGTCGAATTTTTTTCAAGAATCTAAAAGAAATTATCAACCTTTTATTCATTATAAAATTGTTGGTATTCTACTGAATCTTTTCGTATATTTCAGTTCAATAATTGTATCATTTGTTTATATTTAATGCCATCACATCTAATCGATTATTCCCATCGCTTGTAGAACAGCGACGAATATTCATTCCCTCGAAATCTGCGTCATCTTCTTGGCGCAATTTTTAATTGATTTCTGCTATCCACTTGCCATGGAGTTTGTCGGCCTTTTCTGCTCGGTTCTGTTGTTCCTCGTGCAGCAGACCGCCACCACGAGGCGCTTTCGCCCTTCACTGCTCCCGAAGATAATAAAATGGCTCCGCTTGATTCCATTGGGCTGTAAAGAAGAGAGAGATTATTTCAGATCGTTAAAGATCAGCCACACAGCTAAGTTTTCTGTTCTATCTCATAACAGTAAGACAGGATTAAACTTAAAGACAGTAATAAATGCAAAATCAATTACTTTTAGAAGTCCTATGCAGATTCTTGTAATGGAGTACGAGGCTTTTACTTGTAATGGTTAGATACATCTGCCTTTGAATGAGTCTGTTGTAGGAAGAAGGATCACTGATATGTTTACCTTCATCTTTGTAGAGAGAGAGAGAGAGGCTCCTAGCTTAGAAATTACTCTGATTACATAATGAAATGATTTTTGTAAATGATAAGTTTCTTTTAGGCTGTACGTGAGAAAGATGATTTTGAATCCGAAAAGGTCAGCCCTATACAATAAGTTTTATTCTATAATATCAGTAAAAATTAATCACAGCAATAAACACAAAATCAATTACACCTAGAATTCTTTATATTTTCCTTAGCAGAAGACGTCATCGCCTATTCAAAGTGTGGCTTGCAGTTATATTTCGTCAGCCACTCGCCGGTTTCAATCCTGGGAGAAGATGAGTTCCATATAGCTTTTGGTTTTACCGAAACTTATGTTTGATGGAGAGTTGGTAGTAGAATGAAGGAGGATTGAGTTGTGTGTGCATGTTTTTTTATTATTCTTACATGGGATTCCGGGTTTTGAAAAAGTTTTGTTTTGTTTTGTTTATTCCAGTTAGAGCTGACACGTTGCGTTTCTTGTCCTTTTATGAACTTTGGAGTTGAAAGTATTCCTTTGGTTGTAGAGACTGCTGTTTAAATTTGATTTGTGATTGATTCTACAGCCTCTTTGTACCGAAAATTTAAAGACTTGAAGGCTTTTCTTCTCCTTAAACCTTTTCTTTGTTGCTGTCAGAGATTTGAAGGTTGCAAAGTATGCCTTTCTATCCTTTGGTAAATTAGGATATCTTTATAGTGGAGATTACGCTTGCTTTTGCTCTTCTTAGACATATTTAGCTGGTTATCAGGGGTGCTTGAGCCCCTCCCTACTTGACTTTGAGAGACAAATAGTTTGTGTTCAGTCTTGGAAGGAATTTTCTCCTTTAATTAAAAGAAAATGAGAGAAAGAATGTCCTCCTCAAGTCCTTCACAGTTTTGTTCCAGCTCTAGCAGAAGCAAGCACAGTTCTAGAATTACAGCTCAAACCAATGTCGATGTGAAGCTAGATGCTGATTTTGAAACTATGGGCACTTTCTTTGACTATTTTCAGTCTGTCAGGCCTCCACCTGACAAAGGAAAGTCTCAGAAGGAGACAGCTTACCTGCAGGGCATCCAAAAGGGGAAGCTAATCCAGCCATTTGGTTGTTTGCTGGCTCTTGATGAGAAAACCTTCAAAATTATCGCTTTCTCTGAGAATGCTCCTGAGATGCTCACCATGATAAGCCATGCAGTTCCTAGTGTTGGTGATCACCCAGCGCTTGGCATAGGCACTGATGTGAGGAGCCTCTTCACTCCCCCTGGCACTGCAGCACTTCGGAAAGCATTAGGCTTTGCAGAGGTTTCTCTGTTGAATCCAATTCTTGTTCACTGCAAGACATCTGGTAGGCCATTCTATGCAATTGTACATAGGGTTACTGGTTGTTTGGTTGTAGATTTTGAGCCTGTGAAGCCTAATGATGAGCCCACGTCTGCTGCTGGGGCTTTGCAGTCCTACAAGCTTGCTGCTAAAGCAATCGCCAGACTTCAGTCTTTACCTGATGGGAGCATGAAGAAGCTTTGCAACACTGTGGTTGAAGAGGTGTTCGAGCTGACAGGGTATGACAGGGTAATGACTTACAAGTTCCATGAAGATGATCATGGAGAAGTTTATGCAGAGATCACGAAGCCAGGCATGGAATCATATTTGGGGTTGCATTATCCGGCTACTGATATACCTCAGGCTGCAAGGTTTCTCTTTATGAAGAATAAGGTTCGAATGATATGTGACTGCCGAGCAAAACATGTAAAGATATATCAAGGTGAGATGCTTCCATTTGATATCAGTTTTTGTGGCAGTACCCTCCGGGCACCTCACAGTTGCCATCTGCAGTATATGGAGAATATGAATTCAATAGCATCTCTGGTCATGGCAGTGATAGTGAATGAAGGAGAAGATGATGACGATGATGAGACTGGGCAGAATCATCAGCAGCAGCAGAAGAGTAAGAGGCTTTGGGGTCTTGTGGTTTGCCATAATGAGACTCGAAGGTTTGTTCCATTTCCATTAAGATATGCCTGTGAATTTTTAATGCAAGTCTTTGCTATACATGTGAACAAAGAGTTTGAGCTGGAGAAACGGGTAAGGGAAAAGAACATCCTAAGAACCCAAACAATGTTGTGTGATATGCTGCTCAGAGAATCATTTCCTCTAGGAATTATCACAAAGACTCCTAACATTATGGATTTGGTCAAATGTGACGGGGCCGCAATTATTTACCAAAACAAGGTCTGGCGGCTGGGGATTACTCCAAGCGAGTCTCAGATTAGTAACATTGCTTATTGGCTCGATGAATGTCACATGGATTCTACGGGGTTGAGTACAGATAGCCTGCATGAAGCTGGGTATCCTGGCGCTTTGTCTCTTGGCGATATGGTTTGTGGAATGGCTGCAGCTAGAATTACTTCTAATGACACACTTTTCTGGTTTCGTTCACCCACAGCTACTGACATTAGATGGGCAGGTGCTAAGCATGACCCAGATGGTGTGGATGATGAGAGGATGATGCATCCAAGATCCTCATTCAAGGCATTTCTTGATGCTGTTAAGATGAAGAGCCAGTCATGGAGTGACCATGAGATGGATGCCATTCACTCCCTGCAGCTTATACTTAGAGGGACATTTAATGGCATTGAAAGTAAAATCAAGAAGTTAACAATTGATTCTCAGATGAATGATCTTAAAGTTGATGGAATGCTCGAGCTTCAAGTAGTTACTAATGAAATAGTTCGTTTGATTGAGACAGCAAATGTGCCCATTCTGGCAGTGGATATTGATGGTCTCATAAATGGATGGAATATGAAAATTGCTGAATTAACTGGCCTTTCGGTTGATGAAGCCATCGGGAAGCATTTGCTTACTCTTGCCGAGGATTCTTCTGTTGATGCAATGAAGAAGATTCTTCTTTTAGCATTGCAAGGTATGTTCATGTGTTTTTCTCTTGTAGTCTTTGCATTCCATAGCTTTCCTCTTCAGAGTTCATCTTAAAACTGATAAAAGCGGATCAATATGTAATTTTTTTCCTCCTTTCTTGTTCTTGGTCAGGAAAGGAGGAGCAAAATGTTGAATTTCATTTAAAAACTTTTGGTCTTCCAAAAGATGATGGTCCAATTATTCTGGTTGTGAATGCTTGCACTAGTCGGGACATCCATGATAATGTCATTGGAGTATGCTTTGTGGCTCAAGATGTTACTGAGCTTAAGATGATTATGGATAAGTTTACAAGAATTGAAGGAGACTACAAGGCCATAGTGCAGAACCCCAGCCCACTTATTCCTCCTATCTTTGGTGCAGACGAGTTTGGCTGGTGTTCCGAGTGGAACTTGGCTATGGCTAATCTTTCAGGATGGAAGAGAGATGAAGTAATTGACAAAATGCTCTTGGGAGAGGTATTTGGGATTAATATGGCTTGTTGCCGAATGAAGAACCAAGATTTATTTGTCAATCTTTGCGTTTTAATAAACAATGCAATGATTGATCAAGAGAAAGAAGAGTCCTCTTTTAGTTTCATTAATCGTAGTGGGAGACATGTAGAGTGTTTGCTGTCTGTGAGCAAAAAAGTTGATGCAGAGGGTAACACCACTGGAGTATTTTGCTTTCTCCATGCTGCTAGCCATGAACTCCAGCAAGAAATGCAAATTCAGAAGCTAACACAGCAAGCAACAATAAAGAGATTGAAGGCTTTAGCATATATAAGGAATGAAATTAGAAATCCTCTCTCTGGTATTATGTATTCATGGAAAATGCTAGAGGGGACCAATTTGGGTGAAGAGCGAATGCTACTCTTGCGCACTGGAGCAAAGTGTCACTATCAGTTGAACAGGATCCTTGATGATTTGGACCTAGAGAACATAATGGACAGGTGTTGGTTTTACAATAAACTGATTGTAGGATTAGGGGTTTTTTTTCTTAGTGTGCTGCTGGACCTGACGTGGGACTAATTTTGGGTTGAAGTGGTGGAGTTTGGAATTAAAAAACAAAAATATATGAAAAAGAGGTCCTGGGCCCCACCTGATTGTGATGGTGTGACTTAGGGACGTTTGTTGTGGTTTTTTTGGCCTTTGTGACATTCAAGCGATGATATTTGCCATCATGATAGTTAAGGGTTATTGCAGTAGTGTTGTAGGAGCACTATAGCAATTTTTTAGTTATTTACTTTATGATATTTTTTATTTCTATTAATAACATGATAGAAGATGATCATTGGATGAATTTTAGGAGATTATTTGAGGTTTTACTAATTGAGAAGAAATACCTAAATTTGAAGTAAATATTTTGCGATTCCATTTGTGATCTTCTTAGGATATATGTTGTTTAAGAATGAATTAGTTGTTGATTCAGATAAGTTTAAAGTAATTAATGATTGTCAAAACCTACTAGTATATATATTTAGAATAGGGGTGTCAATTCAGGTTAGCGAGTCAGGTTTGAGTTTAATCTTAAATTGATACAACCCAAATAAGCTCGACTCAAATCCGACCCATTTATCATAAAGGATAAAATATTTGGCTCAAACATGATTAACCTAAGCCCGACTGGTTTTGACCCATTTATCATATTGGTTATACTATCGTCAGATCAAAATGACCCTTTTAACACAAATTTGGCCCATTTAATCCAAAAAATAATTTGCTTAATCTGGTCCTGACCCGTTTAACCTAAACCCAAATGATAATTAGATCAATTTCATATTTTCAAGTCAAAATAGACCCGACTCAAAAATTAACTTTCCTTTCCATGTTAAGCATATGAATCTATGACATTTGTTTTTCCTTATTTAACACATACATCTGTGGCTCCTTTTATTTCTTATTCAGTAATCCTAAGGCTACCAATTTTGCTAAGCCTTTGATACTTTCAACACTCCTCAAGCTAGCAATAGAGATCTACCCTTCTAAATATGTTGGCGAGTTGACTTCTAGTTAGAATATACGGAGTGCAAATCAATTCATTTTCTAATTTTTGTCTTATGAAATTCCTATCAACTTTCACATGTTCAATTCGATCATGTTGTATTGGATTATGGACAATATTGATGGTAGACTTATTTTCATAATATATCCATATAGGTTTTTGATAGGACTTGAGGATCAAAACAACATAGCAATATAAAAAACAACAACTCACTCAAAGTAGATCCAGAAATAACACAAAGAGAGCTGTTTGTACTAATTTTCAAACAAAGCAAGACACAGTACAAGTTGATTCACTATTCGTGAGGTGAATCGTCTCTCTCACAATTCCTAGCAGCTACGAGTAACCAAAAACCTCACAAAAACTGATGCAGAAATTCCAAACATAACATAGAAAATCCCAACCCACCATAATCTCCCCCCTTAAACAGCTCAAAATCCCCCTAATAAATGCCCCTTACATCTTTCCTAATGAGTCCCCTCCTTTCAAAGAAGTTTCCTCCCAAAGCCTCTTCTCCTATAGGTGATAAAAGAGGTCATGGGCCCCACCTGGTCAGTTGGACTGCTGCTGCGAGTTGTATCAATTTTTTCATTTTATTTTAAAATCTTCTAGCATAATTTTAATCCATAGGAGTTCACGGACATCTTAAGTGATTGGTTTGAATTTAGATTCAACATTTGATCTCTAGACAACATGTTAGTTCTTACCTCTCCATGTTACTAGATTTTCTCCTAGTGGTGTGCAATATCCTAAAGTGAATCTCTTATCCATTAGTGATCTCATGCCAACATCAATATGACTTTCAAGTTGTAGGATTTTATGTTTTTTATAGAAAATTTAACCTTCAAAATTTGATTTTAGATATCGAAGAACTAATTTGCAAACTGGTTAAAGGTAAGATTTCTTTGGTTTATATAGAAATTGACTTATGAGATTTATTGTAAAAGTTATGTTAAGAAGGGTGTGGGATAGTTTAATTTCTCAAACAATATTTCATATTGTTTGATATTGTTTAATGTCGATTTCTTTTCATTCTTCATCCGTGTCCAATTTATAACCTGATTTAATTAGAGTTTCATATTGCTTTCAACCAGTTATTTTAAAATTTTCCAAAATATTTATGACATACTTTTGTTGAAAGATAAACTTTCCTTTTCTAATTGAGCCACATTTATAACCAAGAAGTATTTTGAGCTTGCCGAGTTCTTTGATTTCAATCTCTGTAGCGAACTTGTTCTTGAGTATTCTTTTTATTGTTGTTGTTGTTGTATCTTATCTAAAAAATATCATCAATATGCACAATAAGTATTGAAATTTTTTGGTCATTAGAATGTTATATCTCATTTCAAATATGGCCTTCGTAAATATGTTGTCTTATGGATTGCTTAAAATCATATAATGTATTTTTTAATCTATGCACCTATTTTCTATGAAGGATCCGTTGAATCATAGTGGATTATCCATATTGACTTTTTCTGCATGCCTATGTAAAAAAGTATTTTTCACATCATATTATTACATGATAATCTAATGTTAGCAACCTGATAAATTGGGATATGAATTGTATTTATTTTAAGAATAGGAGAAATATTTTCTTGGTAGTCTATCTCATAGGTTTGAGTGTATTATTTTGCTACTAACCTTCCTTTACACCATATCAAGTTTCTATCAGTTTTGTATTTTAAATTTCTTTCCTTTTGGTAACTCAATGATTTTTAGGTGTAATTTTTTCTAGGTTTGTAGCCTTTGAAATTCTATTTTGATAGGGCAATTCAAAATTTTCATTTATAATGATTGACTCTTTTGTAAGTAGTTGAAAAACCAGACATGATTAGGATATGAAAGAAAGAAATGGAAAAGGAAAGTTAGGAAAGAGAATCCTAATTTTGCTTTGATGTGATATGGAAAAGAGGATTCATGTCGGGTAGGTCTACTATGGAAGCTTTACATTTATTAAGAGGTTTGATGGAGAAGTTTGGAGAGAATAAAAAGGTTCTACATGTGATATTTATTGATTTAGAGAAAACATATGATAAAGTTCCAAGAGAAGTGTTTTCAAGAGTTCTAGAAAAGAAAAGAGTTAATAATGCTTATACTCAAGTCATTAAAGATATGTATGTTGGAGCTGTTACTTGTGTTCAGTTGAATTATATCAAGTATCAGCTTTAAGCCCATATCTTTTTGCTTTATGCATAAATCTTCTTAATAGACATTTACAAGAGGATGTACTCTAGTGTATGCTTTTTGCTGATAACATTCTTCTTGTTGATAAGATTATAGAGGGAGTTGAAAGAAAATTTGAATTATGGATGTCAACCTTAGAGTCTACAGGTTATTATTTCAGACTTTTAGTAGACCTAAAATTGACTACATGGTGTGTAAATGTGTAATTTTAGTAGTAATAGATTTAGTGGAGGGATTGTGACTTTGGGCGATCAAGTAATTCATAAGTGTTGCAACTAAAAAAAATTGATGCGACCAAAATTTAGCAAATAGCAAAATTAAACGTCTTCATAACAAACATAAAACATAAAATCAACACAACACCTTACCACTATATATACAGTTTAGAGAAGAAAGATACAAGTGAGGTGGGTATCATGGTTAGAAGGAGGAGGTAGAAGTCTTGAGACAAAATATAAGAGAGAAAAGGATAGAAGACTAGCTCGTAAGCTAGAAAAAACCCTAAGGTTTTATTCTAAAAAACCAGCACATTTCCTCCTCTTTTAAAATAACCACAAAATATTCTTATAAATAGAAAAGAAAAGGAGGCCAAAAGCCATGCTCAGCCGCCCACTATAGCCAACCAAAAGGGGAAGAAAAAATAGCATTAAAGGCACGAATGTACCCCCACCCGAATAGTCACAGTAAGGGAACTAGGACAGCCAAGGAGCAAGAACCAAACAGCCAGCAAGGGGAGCTGGGAAAGCAGGGAGCAGGGAACTAGGAAAGCAGGGAGCAGGAACCGAACAACCCAGCAAGGGAAACCAGGAAAGCATGGAGCAGGAGCAGAAATCGAACATCTCAGCAAAGGAAACTGGGAAAGCAGGGAGCAGGAACCGAACAGCCCAAAGCAGCCACCCCCCACGCCCCCCCCCCTCACAAAATTATCCTAGCTTACATCAATTCTCCCCTGGTTGAGAGTTTTCATCCCCAGATGAGATGACTTCAGAATCTCTTTTACACATCGAATAATCCACATCCAGCTCATGTATTAAGACTGTATTCTTTCTTTGGATTTTTTCTCTTTCTTGCTTAAATTGGGCTGGAAGAAGTTTCTTTCTCTTCTCATATTTTTCTATAAACAAATTCATTTTCTCATGGATTTTGTATAGCTCATTCTGGATTGGATCTGTAGAACTTCCTTACAGCGGGATCCATCTGCTCTTTGGAATGATTTCTTCAAGATAACTTGGCCGATTTTTTTCCAACTTCAGATTCGACTTCTTCTTGAGTTGGATCCTCTATTTGTTGATGAGTTTCCATAATTTTTTTTTTGGAATTAGAAAGGAAGACACAAAACCTAAGGCTCTGATACCAAATTGATACACAAAAAAAAAAAACCGAGAAGCATACCAGGTATGCAAATAATCGCTTCCTTTCCAAATAACTTAAATATGACAAAACAAACTTAAAAAAGACACTACAACACCTTACAAATGTTTTAAAAAAAGAAAGATACAAGGAAGGGTTATCATGGAGGGAATAACAAGATTAGAAGTTCGAGACAAAGTTTAAGAAGAGAGGAAGGTAGAAGACAATAGCTTGCAAGCTATTCCAAACCCACGGGTTTCATGCTCCAAAAATCATCCATAATCTATCCTCTAAAATATCCACAAACAGCCTCGATAAATAGGAAAGAAAAGAAGGTCAAAAGTCATGCTCAGTCGCCCACTATAGCCAACCAAAGGGGAGGAAAAAACAGGATTAAAGGCACAGATGAACCCCCACCCGAATAACCACAACAAGGGATGGACTAGACCTGTCAATTTCGGGTCTCGGGTCGGGTTCGGGTTGAACCCGGAACTGACCCGGCATTAATCGGGTCAACCCTAACCCGACCCGTTTTTGAAAACGGGTCAGTTTTCTGGACCCGAACCCGACCCGGTTCGGGTTCGGGTCAACCCGAAACCACTTATTTCCGCCAAATCCCGCGCCTACATTCAAAAATTTTGCCAAATCACGCGTAGTAAGAGTACACGTTTTAAATACCTTGGGTCTATTGTTCAAAGTTGTCATGCCATAAGATCTTAAACTTAGCGTCGTAGCGCTCCAAAGGACAGTGCTGAAGCGCTCTAGTTTAAACAGAAATACAAAATTTCATTTTAAAATATATTTTCATATTTTGGGTTGTTACAAAAGTGAGGGTGAAATAGATGAGGATATTATTAGTAAAATTTAATTTGGATGGTTGAAGTGTAGGAATGCATCAGGCCTATTGTGTGATAGAAAAGTACCCGTCAAACTTAAAATAAAATTTTATAAGATGGTGGCGAGACTTGCAATGCTCTTATGACGCAGAATATTGGTCATTAAAAGAGAAGCATAAAATTAAGTTAAGGTTGCAGAGATGAGGATGCTCAGGTGGATAAATGGCTTTACTCTTAGAGATAGAATGCGAAATGAGTTTATATGTGAAAAGGTTGGAGTACCTCCAACAGCATATAAGATTAGAGAGAGTTGTCTTAGATAGTTTGGACACTAAAACATCGGCCTTCTGATGTTCTGGTTAGAGTAGATGTATTGCATTTGACCTATGCTAAGAAAGTTAGAGGTAGACCTAAGAAGACTTGACTAGAAAAAATATTAGAAATGTCCTTTTTTATTAAATTTAAGTGAGAATTTGACTCTTAACATGACACAATGGAGAAAAAAAGATTCATGTAGCTGACCCATGTAGTTAAATAAAGGCTTGATGTTGTTGTTATCATATGGAAAAGAGGGAATGGCTAGAAAGGTTGCTTGTTTGGTGCCCTAATGGGTATTTATGCACAAAAATGCCCATAAAATACTTGGAAACTACAAATTACAATGAATTTAAAAATTAAAATTGTTATCCAAAACTTCTTATTGTGGGCTCCGAAAGTTGAGCTTTTAAGGCCCCGGGCTCTCCGCATTTATTCGGGGAGAGTTTTAATGGTTGAAATTCTTGAGAGTTTATTTTTGTTTTGATGATTGCTGGTGATTTGATCGATAAGGGTTTTAGTGTCCAAGAAAGTTTGTATTTTATTTTTCAAGCTTTAGGTTAGATTATTTGATTGGAATAATTTTAGTCTCATTTTAGTTTAGGTTAATTGTCATAAAATTTTGAGGAGGTTATGTTGAACTTTACTAGATCTTTATGTTACTTTGAACATTAAGTTCAATTCCTCATAGTCAAGATTTTTCAATGCAGGCAAATTGATGAGGGATTGCTGTTCGGTTGATCTAAATTGTTGTTGGGTGGAAGCAGTGGAATTTGAAATTATTCAAAATATCCTAAAAAGATGGTGGTTTGAATTGGGAACATCAGCTATAGGGATTATTGTGGCGGAATTTCTTCATCTGACCTTAGGTCTCGATGTTGATATTGAGACTTGGACTTAGTTGCTTTGAAAGTTTCAAATTAATTTAATAATGGATTGGTTGATTTGGGGTTTTAAAATTAAATTGGGATTATTCAACTATAAATTAAGATTAACTCTATGCCAATATCTGCTAACCTAGGCTATAAGAAGTTTATAAATAGTGGTTTAAGTTATGTAAGTCATAATTTTCAATTTTAATAAAATTTCTTTTTTCAGTTTTACCCTGTGTTTTTTAGTTGAATGTATGATTCTTTTAAGTGCGGTATAAGTGTAGTTACATAATTTCAAAAGAGGTCCTCTCCTTATAACATAATGAGGTATTGTTTTTATTTACTTTGATAATTTCATTCTTTGTTAATTTCTTTTTAATATAATTTTTTATTGATTAATTTAGTGCCCTCTTTTGGTCAAAAAGGGTTACATCAGAAATTTAATTTGGTGTGTATTAATTCGTTTGCTTCTTGGTTTATTTGCTTACAAATTTTTACTGAAATTGTTAAATATTTATAACTACTTCATTATCAATTGGGCTTATACTGAACGATTGTCTATTTTAATGGAAAGTAACTCGTTGGTATAATATGTAACTCGTGACATGTGAATCTACTATTTTCTTTTACATGAAAACATGCCAAAAATTATATTAGTTGCATTAAAAAATGTAACCCTAAGTTGTCTTGCATCATAACTTATTGCAGAAAATCTTATATTAGATGCTTATGAAGTTTTTCAAACTCCCTTCTGTCAAATTAGTAAATCTCTTTAAGTTTTTGGTTTTTTATCAGTGCATTTACTTCTATGAACTTATCTATATATTTTTGTTTTACTTGCATAAAATCTTGTGAACTTTATTCCATTGTTTATGTACTTGTAGCTGTTTGGAGTTGGAAATGAATGAGTTTACTCTGAAAGATGTGGTGGTTACTGCAGTAAGCCAAGTGATGCTTCCAAGCATGGGGAAGGGAATAAAATTAGTCTCTGACTTACCTGAAGACTTAGAAAATGAATTTGTCTATGGGGACAGTCTGAGGCTTCAGCAAATCCTTGCTGATTTCTTGCTTGTGTGTGTGAAGCATTCCCCTGGTGGAGGGCAAATTGAGATAACGGCTGGACTAATGAAAGATAAGTTGGGTGAATCTCTTCAGCTTATTAACATGGAAATCAGGTGTTTGTTCTCATTGATGCAATCGTTTTTACAAAAAAAAAAATATAATTGCTTATTCTTTTGGTCGTTTTTGATGGTGCATGAATTTATTGTCGTTGCTATGTCTGAAGTTAATAATGTTGACTAAGGTAGAATGGATTTCTATTTCTTTTCTTGTGTAATGAAATACAGCGACTGGAACCTTGGTGGGCGGTTGATCTAATCTTAGCATAATTGTTGATACCAGTGCAAAGTCTGCAATTTATATTCGGGCTCATTTGGTCTCTTGTAGATTGAAATATGTTTTGAAACATTCTGATTTTATTTTGACTTGAATTTGAAATTATAAAATTTGTTTGACTTAGTTTCAAGATTATTTGTTGAGCTCAAGTGAATGGTACTTTCCAGCCATACCCTGCCAGTAGATTTAACCTTAATGACTTCTTAAAACATGCTTTCTAACTTCAAGCAACCGAATGGTGGCTTACTGAACTTTCAGTGGGATGAAGGGATTTTCTTAAGTGGATGTTAATTGTTCCAACTGATAATAGTTCTTGAGCTATAGTGACATGATCTTGTTTAGGGTGGGAGTTTGATAGGAAGTGAATGCAGAATTTGTGAAATCCCTTGGTTGAAATTTAATTTCAACAAAACCAGAAATTGACAACAAGAGAAAATAAGAAGAAGAACTCACAAGAACATATATTATTGAAGTAGCTATGAAAGAAAGACAAGATACAATTGAATCTTCAATTGGAGAGGAAGATCCCCCTCTTCCAAATCCCTAGTCGCCAGCTAGAGCCCTCTCAACCTTGGTAAACTAAATTTAGCCAAACATAACCTAACCTAGGGTAAACACCTACTTAAAGTATACAATAATTTAGCAAATCTCCAAACAACCCTCCCATACTAATTTTCCCTCCTAGCCACCCCCCTCTACTATTCAAATTTTTCCTTGGGCCCCACCCAAGGGGGTGGGCATTCATTCCAGGCGGGCTTTGTTCCACCTGGTGTAAACCCTAGCTGGTCTAGGGTGGACCGACCTAGCATTGACTGGTCCAGGAGGGACCGGTCCATCAATACCCCCTCCCAAAAACCCACCTTGTCCTCAAGTTGGAAAGCCGGAAACTGCTGCTTCACCCTCTCGTATGGCTCCCACGTGGCATCATAATCTTGTATGTTCTTCCACTTTTTTAGCCCTTTCTCGATCCCTCAGTCTCCCCGTCGTACCCCTTCTAGCTCCAATAGTTTCAAAATCACCTCCAAATCCTCTATCAGTGTCACGAGTAATTTTGAACTGGATTCATGATCACCAATAGCTCTCCTCAATTGTGACATGTGGAACATTAAGTGTATAGTAGCGGTCGGGGGTAACTTCAATCAATAAGCCACTACTCCAATACTCTCAAGTATCTCATAGGGGCCAAAGTATCTCAGGTCCAGCTTCTCATTCCTCTTATTTGTTATCAAATTTTGTCTGTAGGAATGAAGCTTTCAAGTATACATTATCACTTATCTCAAACCGCATGTCCTTCTTGTGCCCATCTGCCTGCTTTATCATGATCTGCTGAGCCCTCAATAAATGTCTTTTTAATTCTGCTAACACCCTTTCCCTCTCCTCCAAATACTACTCCAACGATGAGGCTAGTGTATTACTCTGCCCAAAATGCACCAAGTGAAGTGAGTCTTTCCCATACAACACTTTGAAATGGGTCATCCATGACGTCGAATTATATGGAGTGTTGCACTAATACTCCGCCCAAGCCATCCATTTGGCCCACAGCCAAGGCATATCCGAAACAAAATTTCGCATATAAGTCTCTAGGCTCCTATTTACCACCTTTGTTTGTCTGTCAGCTTGGGAGTGGTAAGCGGTGCTCCTCTTCAATAATGTCCCCTGCATCCTGAATAACTCTCTCCAAAAATGACTGAGAAACACTTTATCTCGGTCGAACACTATAGATTCTAGTATCCCATGCAATCCGGTCACCTCCTTGATAAATATTGTTGCCACTGTCACAGCTATATATGAATGTCATAGGAGAATAAAATAAGCATGATTGCTCAATCTATCCACCACCATCAAAATCACTATAAAACCCTCAGACCTGGGTATCCCATCTATGAAATTCATGATGACCTCCTCCTACACTCTGTCCGGAAGAGCCAGAGATTGTAGTAGCCCTCCTGGAGCCTGAACATATATTTGGTCCTCTGGTACACCTCACATCTAGCCACAATACAACTCCGCCGCCAACCTCCTTTACATCTTTTGCACCCCTGAATGATCCCGACAGCACTACCGTGGAACTCCTGCAGAAGGTAAGGAATATGGAGCGAGGTCTATGGCAACACAAATCTCCCCTTTAATAGCAGTCTCTCCCCCTTTTGGGAATAGTCAGGGTGGCTACTCTCATCCCTCAGTAAATATGCCCTAATCCCACTCAACTCCTCATTCTGATCACTTTTTTCCTTAATATCCCCCCCAATCTAATATCAGTAACATCGAAATGTCTAGCCCTGCCTATAATGGATCTCTTCCATGCGTCTAAACAAGACATCAACCTCCTTATTCTCTAGCCTTGCCTATAATGGATCTCAAAATCATATCCCAAGAGCTTCAATAACCACCTTTGATGCTCCTCAGTCACCATTCTTTGCCCTAAGAGGTACTTCAAGCTCCTCTGGTCTATCCTGAAGATGAAGTGTTAGCCCAGTAGGTAAAGCTGCCACTTATGAATAGGGGTGTAAACGAGTTGAGTCAAGGTTTGGCTCTTATCGAGCTCGGCTTGTTTGATGGAAAGCGAGCTCGATCTCGAGCTCGAGCTCATCTCACTGTAAACGAGCTCGAGCTCGCTCGCTCTCGAGGCATGGGCGGAATTTTTTAAATTTAGGTGGGATTTTTAAAATTTATGCGGGATTTTTAAAACTTAAGCGAGATTTTTAAAACTTAGTCAAAATTTATAAAAAAAATTGAAATGTTTAGCATTTAAATAAAACTTAGGTGATTTTTATTAATTTTGTTAATATTTAAATTTAATAAATAAAATTAAATTATTTTTAAAAATATTAATATTTATTCGAGTTGGCTCGCAAGCTCAAGAGCCGAGCTGGCTCAAGCTCGAACTTGATTCAAACTCGAGCTCGAGCTCAACTCGTGAGCTCGATAATCTTGGCTCGCGAGCCCATAAACGAGTAGAGCTCGATCCGTCTTGCAAGCCGAATCGGCTCACTTACACCCCTACTTATGAATGACCATTAGCTTTCTCTCATAGGCTGACATCAACCTAGCCCTGGCTGTCAACACCTGGCTGAAGTAAGCTATGAGCTTCTAAGTTTGTATGAGCACTGCCCCCAATCCATACCTTGATGCATCAGTCTCTACCACTAAAATCTGGTAGGGCCAGGATTCGTATTGTGGTCATAACCTACTTCAGTCTCTCGAAGGCCTGGGTAGTTGCTTCTCTCCACAGAAAACTATCTTTCTTCAGCTGCTCCATCAATGGTCATGATTTAGTGTTGTATCCCCTCACAAACCTCCTGTAGTACCCGGTCAACCATAGGAAACCCTTCAGCTCCTTTAAAGTCTTAAGTAGTGACCATTTCAACATAACCTCAATCTTAGCTTGATTAGTGGCTAACCTCTTCTAAGACACCACGTGCCCCAAGTACTCTACAGTGAGTTGTGCAAAGAAACACTTCTTTAGGTTGGCCCGCAACTGATGCTCCTGTAACTAATACTATCTTCAAGTGCTCCAAATGCTCCTTATCCAACCTGTTGTATACTAGCATGTCATCAAAGAAGACCAATATAAATCTCTTGAGATATGGCTGGAACACTGCGTTTATGAGGGACTGGAATGTAGTAGATGCATTGGTGAGACAAAATGGCATCACCAAGAATTTGCAGTATCCTTCATGTGTCCTGAATGCAGTCTACAGAATATTTTCTTCTCTTATTCTGATCTGATGGTACACTCCTCTCTCATCCTGATCTGATAGTACATGGACTTCAGATCAATCTTCATGAACATCACCGTTTACAAAAACCATCAAGTAACTCATTGATTACTGGTATAGGAAACTTGTCTAGCACAATCTCCTTTTTTAGGGCTTGATAATCCACACAGAATCTTCATCTCTAATCCTTCTTCTTGACCAGTAAGACTGGGCTAGAAAAAGGACTCAACACTCAGCTTGATGATTCATGTCTCTAATATCTCTCGAATCAACTTCTCAATCTCATCCTTCTAGATATGAGGGTATTGGTAAGGTCTGACACTAATCAGTGAAACCCCCTCCCTCAAGGTGATGGCATGCTCCAGCTCCCTCAGTGGTGGCAACCCTCGAGGTGGTTGAAAGACCTCACTAAAATGCTGTATAAGCAGCTGTATTGAAAAAGAGTGTCTTCACTCCCCTTCAGGCTCTAAAACTCCATCGAAAATTCTCCCCCCACCTCTTGTATGCTCCTCACCATGTTTTTGATAGAAATCATGGCTTTGGATAACCCTGTATCACCACCCTCCTCCCTCCATCATCATTTCAATCATCAGTGCTCTCCAGTTGACCTTGGTGTCTCTTAAGGTTTGCAGTCATTTCATCCTCAGGATGACATCAGTGCTTCCTGACTTCAATCGAAGGAAGTTCTCCCTCACCTAGATCACCTGTATGGTCAAAATCATCCCTCTACACACGACCTAGTTAGAGATGAAATTGTGGGTAGCCCCACTGTCTATCAACACCACTACCTCCCTGTTTGTTATCTCTCCTCTCACTTTTATGATGTGATTTGGAGTGAATCTCACCACTAAGTTCAAGGAGACCTCCACTATATCTAAATGCAGTCCTCTTCTTCCTCCACCATTGCCTCACTCCCACCTCTCTCAGTTTCCTCGTCATCATAGACTGTGAGAACTTGAAGAGTTTAACCCTTATACATGTGCCTGATGTATACTTCTCATAACATATGAAACACAGTTCATTCGCCCTCTTCTCTTGTAACTCCGTCTCAGTAAGCTTCTTGATGTTTCCCTCATGTCTCCATTCTACAGTATTCTCCTTTAGGGTCTCCTTAAGAATACCCGGTGTCAGCCTCTTGGGTGCCAAAAAGGTGGTTGTCATGCCAATGCTTTCCCTTCTAAGCATGGCCCGACCAAAATTCAGTCTCTCCTGCTCCGTCAATCCATTGATGGCAAAGTACATTTTCACCCTGCAGATCCACCAATACATATCCTCTCACTCAAAATAGACATCTTCAGCTTCCTCACCCTCGGATCTCCTTTGTTCCTCCTATTTTCTCCATAACCTCACATTCCCTAAGGCGATGGTCTCCCAAGTGTCCTGATCATTCCTTCTACACTCGTACCCAAACCCTTCATCAAAATTCTCTCTCTTCCTTTCAAATTCAGCACCCCTTTTGTCATAGTCATCCCCGCTCCTTTCAAATTTAGCACCCCTTCGGTCGTACACAAAATCGTCACCCCTCTCCCCATACTCTCTTCCTGTATGCTCCCTAGGAATAGGCTCTAGAGGAGGGCTTCTCTCTTGTCTATCCACAATCTCCACCTCCGGATCTTTCCCTCTCCTTATCAGATTACGATTTCCCCCACTCCCTTGGCTGTCAGCGGCTCTCCTCACCTGCGATGACGCCTTTTTGGTTTGGACCTCGAGCATCTTTTTCATCATCTCTTCCATGATGGCGAATGTCCCATTGATCTTCTCATGGATGACTAAAATTTGAGATTGGAAATCTGAAAATTTTTCTTTGGAATCAATTTTTAATTGTCCGATCTCTCTTTTCAATACTTCTATCTTTCTTCCTTCCATAGGTACCCGGATCTACGCTCTGATACCAATTTGATAGGAAGTGGATACAAAATTTGTGAAATCCCTTGGCTGAAATTTAATTTCAGCCAAATAAAAAATTGGCGACAAAAGAAAATAGGAAGAACTCACAAGAACAATTTGTTTGAAATAGCTATGAAAGAAATATAAGATATAATTGGAGAGGAAGATCCCTCTCTCCCAAATCCCTAGCCACTAGCTAGAGTCCTCTTAACCTTGGTAAAACTAAATTCAGCCAAATATAACACAATCCTAACCCTAGGATAAATAACCTACTTAAACTATATGAGTTAATTTTAGCAAATTCCAAATATCCCATCCCCCCCCCCCCCCCCCCCGCAACACCACAATTCAAATTTTTGTCCTGGGAGGCATTCATTCCGGGCGGGCTCTGTTTTGCTTGGTGCATACCCTGGCCGGTTCAAGATGGACCAGTCAAGCAGTAACCATGAGGAACAGATCCATCAGAGTTGAGCAGTGGAAAGTGCTTAAAGATCCCATGGACCATCCTAGTTAGGCAATCCTATTTGTTCTACAACTATTCCAAAGTTATGTGATCATTAGACAGTTCATTGTGCAAGGACTTTTCTGTCTTCATGATGCTACATCATCTGACTCTTTGTCTTGGTCATTGTCCCCGCTCACCTTATCTTAGAGTACATTGGATCCAATATGATCTGTGAAAAGATGTCAAAGATCCTATTAGAGATATGGATCAAGCCTAGAGAGCAGAAACAATGAGCAAGAAGCTAGGCTTTGATGATTCTCGTGGCGAAAATTCTATAAAAGAATATTGAATTTTTTTGACAGAGAAATTGAGTCAAACTGAGTTGTTGAGAAGTGGTTTTAAGAGAAAGAGAGAGATTCAAGAGAATCTTAGAATAATCTTATAATGACCTTAGATGCGACTGAGTTTTTGCTCAAGGTTCAAGATTGCATGCGCCTGCACTTGACCATTGACCTCCTGTTAATAGGTGAGGGTCAACTTCAATATTATATGATTGGCTACATAATGCGATTACACATAAAATACATGAATTGAAATCATTGTAGCTTGCTGTATGATGGGTGAGTTTGTCTGATAGTTGACTTCTAGTCAGGAACTTTGTGTAAGTTCCAGATTGCGGACAAGAACCATTAGCAAGTTTGTTACTCTGGCCCAAGAGGGGACGACTATTATTCCTAAACTGGACCGGTTTGGGTTTACCACCGCCGGCCCGAGCAAGGAGAGAGAGGGGAGTCGGCCACTCCCTTGGACCCCACCAGGGGTGCAAACGAGTCGAGTCGAGCTCGAGTCAGGGGGTGTTTGAGTCGAGCTTGACTTTCAAAGACCAAGCTCGAGCTCGAGTCGAGCTCAAAATCCGAGCTCGAGCTCGACTCGTCTTATTGTCGAGCAGCTCGTCAAGCTTTGCTGTCGAGCTCCGCTGTCGAGATTGAAATCCATCACTGGTTGTAGCGTCCGTCCTCCCGAGGCTCCTCGTCGTCGTCGCATCTACCGTCGAGATCGTCGTACCGAGCGGTCTGAGCGTAATCGTGGACATCTTGAGGTTTGTATGTTGTTGAGATCGCTCGCCTTCGCGTCTGTCGTCGAGTACATCATCTCGAACTTGTCCCGTCGCATTTGCCATCGGGGTCGTCGTCGAGCTCAAAAAATTCCCGCTGTCGAGATCGTCGTCGAGCTCGTTCTATTGTCTGCCGTCAAGATCTTCGTCGAGCTCAGAATTTTTCGCTATTGAGATCGTCGTTGAGCTCGTCCCGTCGTCTGCCATCGAGATCAACGTCAAGCTTAAAATTTTCTGCTTTTGAGATAGTCGTCGAGCTCGTCCCACCGTCTGTCGTCGAGATCATCATCGAGCTCAAAATTTTATACTTTTGAGATCGTCGTCGAGCTCGTCCCACTGTCTGCCGTCGAGCTCGTCCCACTATCAAAGTTCTCCTGCCAAGAACCCATAGTCAGATCGCAAGGACTATGGGCAAGCAGCTAAGCCCCTTGGGCGAATACCATTGGGGAATAGGTGAGTTTGTGAGTTCTTCAGGTGAGCTTAATCTCTCGCTATTTATGGCAGAGTTAAGGTTATTCTTGGGTGACTAGGCTTTACATGATTTCATGCTTTGTGACTTCCAATCTTTAGACCGTTCAAGCTAGTTCACAATCTTTAACGTGTTGAATCTAGTTTAGGTTCTCATAATTGCTTGACTGACCTAACTCAGACAAATATGATGTGCAGTTCAGATTCAGTTTGAACTGAATGGTTAGGATGTTATTTTGGTGGAGCTTCAAGTGTTTTTTTATTGTAACTTTCTTGCAGTACGAGCTAATTTTCTTTAAAATCTTTCTGACCCTCCTGATAAAGGCTTCACTACAATATTGCCAACTGATATATGATCTTTTCTAAATGATTGGAACTAAGACTATTAAATCTAAGGGTTTGAGTTGCGTAAAAGAACATGTTGTTTCAAGGTCGCAAATACGCACCCGTAAACCATCTGAATTAAAAGAACTAAAGATTAAAATTTGCCAAATAACTTTTCCTACAATTAGAACATGATAAAACTGTCTTAGTAAAATCTTGAATTAAGAAATTAAAGAGTTAGATTAAACTATTTAATTGTAATAATACAAACAGCCAGCTAATTAATGGGATAAATCTTTGTTCACTAAATAATGCACCAAGATGATCCAGTGATTCTTGCTTCTAATCATGGAAAACAATACCAATAGGATTTGACTAAATGGACAAGAGTTACTTGCTAACAACAATAAGAGCAAATTCCTTTCACCAAATTCTAGCACTGTCTAGTTCTGCTGCAGGTAGGTAGACCTCCTAGTTAGAACTAAAAACATGTATCATAAGCTATATTAGTTCTATAGAAATATTTCACAGCATTTTATAGAAAACTAGCACTAAATTGAAATATCATTAATAACAACTCCTAACCATCTAATAAAACTTATCAATTTACAGAATGTTAATGTAGAAATATTAATAGTTTACTTAGGCTTCGTTTGGAATGATTTTCTTATCGCTTAATGAAGCAACTTTTTTAAAGTGTGTATAGAAATATCTCAGTGATCTTCTTTAAAGTGTATATAGATAGGCTTCGTTCTGAAGCTAATGGTTTTTGCTTCTGGCTCAGGATAATCCATGAGGGAAATATAGTGCCGCAGGAATTAATTTCTCAAATGTTTGGAAGCAAGGAAGAGTCTCAAGAAGAGGGTATGAGTCTGCTAGTTTGCAGAAAGCTTCTGAAGCTCATGAATGGAGATGTGCGTTATCTGAGGGAGGAAAACAAGGCAGCCTTCATCCTCTCTGCAGAGCTGGCTTCTGCTTCCAAAGCAAATGCAGGAAAATCTTGATTTGATGACTCAGGTTTCATTTGAGACAAGCTTTTTTGCTTCTTAAAGCAGCTTTCTCATACAAAAATTAAAAATTTTTGTACTAAAAAACTACTTTAAGAAGCAGTGAGAAAGCCGTCCCAAACTAAGGCTTCGTTTGAGACGACTTTCTTGTTGCTTCTTAAAGCAACTTTCTAGTATAAAAATTTTAATTTTTGTACTAAAAAGTTGCTTTAAGAAGTAACAAAAAAGACGTCACAAACGAAGCCTAAGTCTCAGCTAGTTCCAATCCTTGTGTAGTTCTTTAAGGAAATATGCCTCAACTGTTCAGCTTTCTTGGGTGCAGCTGCGTATGTTCTCTCCTATTTGGCTATTTTCTTCATTGTTGATGAACTTTTGTCTGGATACAGTTTAAATAAATTTCCACATTTGCGTTCTTGTAGAGGCGGCTGTATTGTTTTAAATTAATGTGCAGTAAAAAAAATGTTTTTTTAATGATTATATGGAAATTGAGATTTTTTTTTGTCAGAATCAAATTTATCTCCTAACTTTGTCTTAATGATCAAAATATTCTTAAACTATGTAAAATTTTCAAATTTATCTCTTTACTCTTTAAATATGAATCAAATTAGTTTTTTTTTAATAATTTAGATTCTTATTTAATGGGTCAAAGAATTAAAATGAGATTTTTAAATAGTCGGATTATTTTGACCCTTAGTAAAAAGTCAAGGATCAACTTTATCTTTTATCTCTTTTTAATTTTATTTTTATTTTCTTATGTTTGGATAAAAGAAAAAAATACTTATAAATTTATAAAACCTGTATGTTAAAATTGAAAAACTTGGAATTTCACATCCTTTGTTTGCTTATATATGATTTCAATGGTAATCAATTCAAAAGTTTGTAATCGAATAAATATTTTTATAAATTTCTTTAATTGTTTATAATTGAATTGACTAAGGTTTAGGTTTTGTTTGGGACTACTTTTTTATTGGTTTTTAAAATAGCATTTTATTTAAAAAATTAAAATTTTTATACTATAAAGTTGTTTTAAAAGTAGTAAGAAAGCCGTCCTAAATAAAGCCTTAATCTGAGATGATTTTTTTACTACTTCTTAAAATAATTTTCTCAGTGCAAATATTTGAATTTTTTATTAAAAATTTATTTTAAGTAGTAAAGAAACTGTTTCAAACGAAGTCTTAATGTGATCGAATCTTACTAAAAGTAAAACTACAAAATAAAAATTAAAAGGATTTTGATTGCTTGATTTTTGCATATTTATTATTATTATTAATGTCATTGTTGTTGTTGTTGATTTTTTTTTTATTTAATTTAATGCTCAAGATGATTAAGTTGAGCATTTGTTTATTATTTTCTAATTGATTTTCATTATATACTATTAGAATTAGATATATATTTTTTCAATTTAATTTGAATTTTTATGAATTTTATATTTAATAGAAATCTGATCATTATCATTTTTAGATTTATTTCTCCTTATTTTATTATAATATTTTCGTTTGTGCCTAATTAAGAAAATTTTACTCTACTATTAATTAAAGTTAACAAAATTTTTGATGTGACATTAAGTTAGATTTAAAATCATCACAGCGCCTATTTACATAGAAAATTTATAAAATAATTCTCAAATTAGTTTAATATCAGAGTATTATGTATTAATATTGCTTTAAATTAATATTTTTAATTATATAAAATTGATTAAAAATAATATTTTGTAATATAATTATGATATAAAATTGATTTAAATTTAATTTCTTTGAATTAATTTTAAGGTGCTAAATTACAATATATATATATACAACATTTGAGAGCGATAGAGGATACAGAGGGAAAGCACTCTGGTCATCGCACAGCTAGGGTTGCTGGCTCGCCGCCGTTCCGAGCGTACATACCGACTCCTGCTTACATTTTATGCTTCTTCTCTTGGTAAGATTCTCGTCTACATCTAGAGTTCTTCTTCGTATAATGCGGATTAAGAAGTTTTAGGGCCTGTTTGGATGCAGGATTTAGGTCAGATTTAGGCAGGATTTGAGCTAAATAGTAAATCCTGCCAAACGCCAAAAAATACAAAGTTAAATCTCACGGTAAGTCTAATCTCTACTTCACGGCATTTTCGCCATTTTGCCCTAAATCCCGGATTTCGTAAATCTGACCGAAGCCAAAGGGGAGAAATATCGTTGCCTTCGCGGCAAGCTCCCGGCGCGACTTCCGATCCGAAAGGAACAACGCTGTAGGAGGAGGCATAGAAGTTTGACTCTTTCAGAACTCTACTTCACGCGAAGCAGAACAACAACTAATAAATGCAGAAGAGGAAAAGCAAACCCTAGACAAGCAATGGCAAGCGACTCGTTCGAAGCTCTACCCCAGGCGAAGAGGGAAGCTCTACCTTAGGCGAACGGCAACAAAGAAACCGAAGAGGTAAAGCCAGTTCGCCTCCATGAGGACCATGACGATTCGATTAATTCTTAATTTCTTAACTCTGCATTAATTTAATTAGCTTAATTGATATAATTTAAAATATAAATATTTAATTAGATGATTAGTAGTGTAAATATTAATTAAATAATTAGTTATTAATGGAATGTTTAATCAATTAATTTGATAATTATGAGAATAATTAGTAATTTAATTTTATTAAAATAATATAAAAATTAATGAAATAATAAGTGTAAATGGTAATTAATGAGTAATTATTTTAAATTATAATTAAATAATTTATTAGATAGTTATAATTAGCATTGATATACTTATTAAAATATCACCTTAATAAGTTATTAATAAAATATTTATTAAAATAACATTCTAATTATAGGATTTATAATTATAATTTTTGTGTTAATTAAAATTAGAATTATTAACAAATATTATACCAATTAAGTTTTTAAATCTTGAATAGCGTTGTCAAATAGTTTTATAGGATTTTTCAAGATTTAATATATTTCTTAACAAACAATTCTGAGGAGTTAACCCTCTCAAGATATAGTAAATCCAGATTTAGAGAATTTAAGAAATTCTACTTAAATTAAATCCTACCTGCATCTCCTTAGTTTCATGACTGGAATGTTGGCTTCGGAAATTTGACTACTGTGTAAGAGCTAGGATTGCGACCATAAGCGGCTGTTTGCTGCCTATCTTAGGCAGGATTTTAACAAGATTTAGCTCAAATCCTGACGACCAGATTTTTGGGGACTTCAAATCCTAATATTTTGATAAATCTTATGTCAGTCCAGTTGTTGATTAAATTTAGGATTTTTCAAATCCCACCATAACACCATTCACAAAATTTAACGGATTTTAGGATTTTACTGTCACAAATCTTAAATCCTGAAATAAATGGCCAAACGATCTTCTAGGATTTAACAATTATCCGCGAAGCAGTTTTCAAGTTTCCAAATTTACTATATCTGAATTTACAAGATTTACTAAACCAAGCTATAATTCAATGAAGTTTGTTCTTTTGTTTGATTTCTTGGTTAAAATTTTATCCGAGTTCTTGCATCTTACTGTTCCAACTTCATATAGTTTCTAGGGTTTCTTTTTGATGTATTCCTTCTTCTTGGTAACGTATTATCCTTTGTTTCTTATGCTTAATTAACATAATCTAACTGCAACTCTGATGGCTGAAGAGATGCTCCGACAAAATCACATCTTTGGTGTATGCGTGGAGTGCTGGTTAAGGTTTAGAAGATTGGCTATTATAAGGGTGAACTACTGAACTACTGATCTATATTATTGTTCAGTGCTGTATAGTAATAATATTGAAAGCCCTTGTAATTCTTCCAGAGCATTGCAAACGCAAGAAACAATGTTTGGTTGGTTGCAATATTACCCAAAACATCTACTTGTATTTACGACCTCTGCTTCCGCATTTATAATTAATGTTTGTTGACTAGCCTCCAATTGAACTATCACACACTTCATCATCTAAAATATTGGTCGACACATAACCACTGCTAACAAGATAGCAACAAATAATATTAGCTGAAACTATCGTAGTGTAAGGCTTGTGTTAATCTACATTTAAGACCATCCAAGGGGGTTGTTATTTGAACTTGAATGGCATGATTTCTTCCATTCATGTAGGAGTGAGTGAAATCATCTATAATACTTAGCTTGCCACCAAAAACAAGCATCGATCATGAGTTTTCTGCTCATCCTAAAATTTAATCATGTTGTGTAGAAAATATATACTACTGTTATTGCAACACTAATCAAATGAATATTATAAATATAATATGATAAATTTTGAAGGGGAGATTATTTTCAAATTATTTATATTTAAATAATCTCTGTGCTTATAAAATTGATGAAAAAATGCAAAAAAATAAATAAAAATAAAACATTAATGAGGGTTAAAACAATCTTACCTAAACCATAAAAAACTAATTGCATGTTAACGAAAATTTGCAATCTCTTGTCATTAGTCGGAAATATATTAATAAACTACACCAATATATTCATTGTATGAATTTTTTATTAGAGTTAAAACAGTAATAAATAAATGATAAAAAACTAAACTCCAAATTTCTAGCTGATGATGTGATGGTGCTGATAGTTTGAATTGAAGAGGAGATTTCAAAGCTTTATAGAGGGCTTGAGGAAGATAATTTGGATTGTAAGCTAGAGGGAAAGAAGAGAGATTTAAATTTGTTATGAAGAAATGAAAAAGGTTTATATGGATGTGGTGGCTGGAGTTAGAAGGCTGGAGGTAAATAACTAGATTATTTTTATCAAAAAGAAATGTTAAGTGAGCAACTTGCTCGTAGATTGCCCTAGTCTTTGCGTGAGTTGCTCAGTTATTATAGAAAAATTAAAACCAAATAATGGCTATGCTGTTAGAACAGCTGATAACGATTAACTTTAAAAAAAATAAATACATAAAATTCATCTGATTATCGGGTATGTTGCATACTTTGAAAATAAAATAAGTGTTGCCATGCTGACATCCTTCTGGAGAGTATCATAAGTTTTATTCCAAGCTTTTGGAGTTGGCTTTTTGAATCCTCAATCTCCATGCATTCCTGCTAATGAGGTAATAAATCTGCATGAAGCAATGTTTAATAGAGCTAATTATTGGATTTTTTTTTCCTGAAGATGTTACTTCAGTTTTAGTTGTAAACTCTGGGTTGCGTTATGTTTATTCTAGCGTTTTAGTTGTTATTTTGTTTTTTAGACATGAATTATTTTCTGCTTTTAATTTCATACTTAATGGTGAAATGTTTTTTTCTTCTCATGGTCTTCATATAAATGCGTATCCCTGTGACGAGAAGTTTAGTAATCTGAACCTTCATAGTGGAAGCTTGAATGATCGGTGCTCCCTTAGTTATGATGCTGAGGTTGAGGAACTGAGATTCATAGCATGTTGAGATTAGGCATTCTGAGGGATTTTTTTGTGCTTTATCAGAGCTGAATTTTTTGCTTTTTCTTGATTTGATTTCGTTATTTTAGCTTGATTTTATTAGTACATTCAATAAGATATTTTTGTCATTACAATCAATCTTTCTACTCTATTATGTTGATATTTGTTATTACTATCTTCAATGTTCCCAAAACTTCAGTTTGCTTGATTTGGAAGCACGCTGTGAAGAACTCAAGTCGTAAAATTAATTTGAGATTGTATTATAATTAGATATCCTGGACTGTTATTTTGTCATATGGTTTATTCTGAAATAATGTTTTTCACTCTTTTATATAAACCTAGTAGCATTGGACCTGAGAGAAGCAAAAGCCTAAATTCACATTTCATGCAAGTAATTTATACATATTTTTTAGGTCTAGGACAACCAAAATAGCAGCAAGGCGAGTAAATTTTGTTTTTTCTATTTATCATGTCCATATAAATGCTTATCCCTGCTACGAAAAGTTTATTAGTCTGAACCTTCATAGTGGAACCTTGAATTATTGGTACTCCCTCAGTTGTGCTGCTGAAACTGAGGAGCTGAGATTCATAACATAGTGTGATCAGGTATTCTGAGGGATTATTTTGAGCTTTATCAGATCTGACTAGTTACGTTTTGTTGACTTCCCAGTTGTTTTAGCTTAATCTCAGCTCATTTTTTATTATATTTAATATGGTTTTTTTGGCATAATTATCTTCTTTTCCACTATATTGTGTTGATATTTGTTATTATTATCTTCAATGTTCCCTAGACTACCTTTTTGTTGATTCGGAAGCACACTTTACTCTGGGAACCTCAAATCTTATAATAAATATGGGCCTATATTGTAACTGGATATTGTACATCTTTCTCGACAATTTTTTTCTCATATGGTTTATTCTAAAATTGTGTTTACTATTTGTCATAAGTTGATACATTTATAATATTGGAGCAGACAGAAGTAAAAGTCCGACGTCACCATTTAATGCAAATATATATATTCATTGCACAGGCATTCAATCTCTATGTATAAGCAACTTTTTGATAGGTATTGTAAAGTCAACATAGCAATTGCTAGTTTCACAATAAAATGTGGTATGTAGAGATAAAATTTCTGTTATTCATTAGAGTCAATGTGCATGAAAGTAAATCTTAATATTAAAGGAATCACTTTCATACTCAGGAATTTGTCCAGCACTAATCAAGGCATGTTGAAGTATGTACAATAGTATTTGTGTGTTTAAAGTATTGACAACCTACGAATATCTGATAACCTAATATGATCAACAAGAATTTCTACAATGATTTCAACAACAGTAATACATTATATTAGCTCTTCATACCTCAAAAGGATTCAACTGAGATGAATGAAGTTCTTGATATTCGTGTAGCATTTTATAAGTAAGTTGGTTGCTGAAGCTTCTCAAGTGTCAATTACAAATTATCCAATAGTGAAACCTTTTCAATCGTTAGGCTCCACCATTTTTATTTGATATGATTTGGTCGTTCAAGATTTGATAAGGCTAGTGAGATCTAAAACGAAAAGTCAGCAATGATGCTTGTGATGACGACATGTCCATGGATCTTACATGCATGTTTTCCGGAAAACTTTAAGCATAACTATCAATAATATTATTGGTGGCATTTTCATGGTTTAAAGTCAAGTCTAACAAATTTAATACTTCTAAAATCCCATCATTCATTGAAAGATCAAGTTCATAGTATTATCCATTTTCTTTCTAACAATCTTATATGATCCAGCCCCTCTAGCAATCAACTTATCCAGCAAATATGATATTCTAGGAACATGAAAACGATATTTGATAGTTATTTTGTTGTTGGCCTTGCTGTCAATATACTTATATACATTTGTCATCTTTCATCCTTTCCCAATCAAGACGGGCACGACACAAGGGCGAAGGTTGTGTTGTATTAATTGTTTCTGTTGGAGCTCGTCCATAATTTCGTGCAAGATAACATGTTCATGGGGCTCATTCGGTAATGGGGTAGATGTGGAATGGTGGCTCCTGGAACGAAATTGATTTGGTGCTCTGGCGGGTAGATGTCAACAAATTCGAATAACATATCTTGTACTGCCTTATGAGAGGTTGATTGTGCATATCTTCACTTTGGTTGGAGATAATTAGAGCCAAGACAAAGGACTCCTGCTCACATGACTGCAGTAAGGTTTTATTGGAGATAATGAATGTGGCTTGCTTGCCTTTGTCATTTTTCGGGGCAGCTTGGGGAGAGTGAGGTAGTAATCGCAATTTTTGTCCTCTCCACTCTAGTGAGTAAGTATTCGTTCGGCCATCATGGGTGACGCCCACGTCAAATTAGCAAGGGCGACCCAAAATGAGGTGACATACATCCATGTCAACTACGTCACAACTCACTTCATGTGTAATTCTTGCCGATGGGGAAGTTTACTCGACACATATCCGCCACTACGATGTCGATGCCATGTTTTACCCAACTAATTTTATAAGGACTAGGTTTTTTTTACTGTGTGCAGCTGCAGAGCTTGAACGATCGAGTGTGAAATTATATTTTCAGTGCAATCATTGTCAATTAGTAGTTCACAAATTTTCCCATTGATGGTACGATGGGTTCTAAACAAGGAGTTATGTTGGGACATGATTGGTTGACGTGGGGCTAAGAGGATAACCGGTTCTCCCTCATCTCCTTGTACATCTTCTACATCTAATTTAGCTGAAATATTCAATCTAGACTCCTCGTCGAGATTATCTCCCTCCAATGATTATAGTTGTTGCCGACTAGGACACTTGTTGGACTTATGGCCCGGTTGGAAGCATCTGAAGCACTTCAAAGTGGTGGGTTTCGGATAAGGGTTGTCCTTAAGTGGAATTTTGGCTCTGTTGGGTTGTTTGGCGTCGGTGGAACCTTGACCCGATTGTTGTTGCGGAGCAGGAGTTTTAGTTGTAGCTGGTTGAGGTTTTGAGTGTTCAATTGTTGCCTCATTGCATTGATGCCCAGAGGTATAGTTGCTTGAGTATTGCTGCACTTGGGATTCAGCCTTCAAAGCAAAGTTAATTGCCTGGGATAGGGACCAGATGGAATTCAATTCAAGTTTATCCTAGATAGCATCTCTAAGGCCTCCAATATTCCTTGCAAGGAGTTGGTTTTCATATTCATTTTAGTTATTGTGGGCATTCAACCGATAAAACTTTTATGTGTAATCGCTTATAGTTCAATTACTTTGTGAGCAATGCTGGTATTTTTGATACAATTTATGTTCCAAATTAGTAGGTAAGAAGTAGCCACGAAGCAGCTGTTTCATTCGAGGCTAACTACAGACTTGCCCTTTGCCTTCC